AATGATATTAATCTCACTTTCCTCAAAATATCAATTTTTCCCTCCACCTATACAAATATCTCATGTCAGGTATCAGTTTATACATTTGCAAACAAATTCTGCTGTGAATCAGTTCTGATATTTTTTGGTAATATTTCATTAGAGTAAGCTTTAGAAAAAGAAAGATTAGGCTTCTAAGCATGACAAAGTACTAGATGAGAGTTAGTAAGAAGAGTTGTTTCTATTCCTTTCTCAGATTAAACCAACTTTGAAACAATTCTAAGCTGCTTAATAGTCACCAAATACTGCTTGTTTACTGAAATAACTATATGATTTAAATAACTAATAAAGTACTACTAGATAAGATAGTGTGAATAATTATCAATAGCAGCATATATCTTGAAGCTAAAGTGTGATAGTTTATCATACCTATTAATAGACCACACTCTGATTAGTACTTTGATTATAAACTGTCCTCACTTACAGATTTGACTACAAATATAATCAACATTTTCTGATCAGCTGGCTGAATAATTGTACAAAGTTTACATCTATATATTATATTCCTTAATTAACATAAATTTCAATTCTAGAATTTAATAAAACACTTTAATTTAGTAATAAGTAATAAAACAAAAAGGCTTTCTCTGAAACTAAAACTCCTAAAAGTCAGACATGTGATTGTATAACTTTCAGCTCTTCAACAAAGTGATTATTTTGGATATAATACTTACTCAAGTGCTAAATCTGTAATATGTTTGATGGTTTGTTTTTCTGTAGGAGTACTATGTTAAAGCAGAATTTGGACCTGTGAACGAGGTCGCAAATCTCGTGTATTATACCAAGTGGCTGTAGTGTCATTGTGGATTAAGAATATGAAGGCTCTAGGTAGTAGGACATGCCAGATGAGTCAAAAGAGCTCCACAAGTAGGTAAAGTACAACAACTAAGCACATGAGAAGAAACAGGACCTGTTGGAATAGATTGTACAAGAGGTTTTGTGTTTGGGTAGATGATTTAAATTGTTGAGTGGTGTAATTTTGGAGGAATGGTTGTCAGAAGGTTAAGATGCTATAATCCAGAATACCACTGGCAGGTTTAGCACCCGTTAGAATCCTAGTAGTGTGATTTTTGTATTTACCTTTAAATGGAGGGGTGTGAGGGGTCTTCGGGGCTCGGTAATGTTTTTTTTTTTATGCAATTATCGGTTGGGGATGTAAGGCACATATACCAGTTTGGTGGTTGTCTTGCTGGAAGCAAATAAAAGATTCTGTTAGTCTAGGTTGGATAAAGAGACAAGGAGGGGAGGGAGCGAGGCTTGGCATCGCCACTTGGATGTGGATCTCTCACGCGGAGAGGCCCTTGAAGCCCGATGAGCGATACTACGCCCTAGCAGTCGAAACAAGGTTATTTGAAATCTCAATGCCGACAATGTTCTCTCAACAGGGACATTATTAGCCTGCTCTCGGGGACTTGTTGCCGTAGACAAGGAGGCTTCCACAATCCGCTCTACCCCCAGAGTATTCATACCTCCGGGCTCATCCCAAGCTTTTCGGCACCGCTCACTCGGCAATGGCAGAAGCCTACGATACTTAAGCTATCTGAATTCCCAGCAGGTCAAATCCCTCCCAACCAGCCCCTTTTCCGATCTTCAAGGCACACCATTTCTGGAATATTCTTGGGGAGTGCACGCAATAAGGGACCTTTCAGGCTGCGCGAAATTGCTTGCGTTAAATTTATTTGGCGATTACAAGTACGGTAATCACATATCAACAAAAATCCTCTTGGAACCACATCTACCGCACGGCATCGATTTCGATAAGATAAACCTTGTTCGGCAATCTGCGCGATGCACGCGTCTTTGGGATTGTTGAGATAGTAGCTTACTCGGTAGAGGTGGGAGATTGTGATAACCAAAGAGACTGCACGGGTAGTATGATACACCACTTGTGTGTGCTACCTGGAATGGGCACGAAGGCGTGGTGAGGATACTACTCTGACGGGACAATGTCAACCCCGACTGCCGACCTACCGGACAAACTTGGCCAAACACCACTCGGTCTGCTATGAATGGGCACGAAGGAGCGGTGAAAATACCACTTGGAAGGCGCGATGTTACACCCGACAGACCAGACATCTACAGCCAAACGCCACTCCGGTGGGCTGCTAGGTCTGGCCATGCAGAAGTGATGACTCTACCGCAGTCCTCAGCACCAGCCACTCCCAACACGACCTAAAACCGGGGAGACATCGCCCTCCTTACCGCTTTCGGATGCGGATAACCCATGTGCCATCTCCGGAAGGACCAACGGCAGCATATACGATACATGACCATCGCCACCACTGCCTCCCTCTTCTCACCCCGGCCCTTCCGCTTCCTGCAACTTACAGTGCTACCCCGTGGTAATTGCCATCCCCCTCCCTTCCCAGGGCAAACCTACCGCAAAAGCTCAGCTTAAATATTTTCTTTTTGGTCGAAGGAAACCACGCCTAGAGGAATGTACATATCCCACATGCCCTTCCAAACATCTACAGATTTTTCCATGTATCCGAGTCTAGATCCGCCAGTTCCCGCCCAAAATCTAGAGTTTGGAGTTGGTAGGGGATATCCCTACTGTAGTGAGAAAAGCCACTCTGATCAAGAACTTCCATCATACCTACACCCATCGTCCACCCCCTTCTCCACACTTCCTTTTCCCCGCTCCCCTCCCTCTAAAGTGTACACCCGAGCGAGGGCCCTTTGAACATAGAGAAAAAATAGAAAGCAAAAGTATTTCCAACACACTCATGAGCAGCGACGCAAAAGCTAAGTTAGCAATTAAGGCATGACGACCGGTTCCCACAATGGACACGACGTATCATAACAGAGATCACGCTTACATGCCACTATCCTCCTGCACGAGCTCAAAGATAAGGCTAAGAAGCTACCCGCACTCTTTGGGCCCGCCAGTCGAGAAATGTTTGTGCGGAGACGGTCCTCAAAATCGCGAAATAAACCCCCATTCCACATTCCACGAGACCCGCACGATCCCAGAAAGCAACACCCAACCTATGATACACCGGTATCGTATCATATATACACTTCCCCCCCGATCGCTTCCCGGAAACAGGACACAACTGTCGCCGCAGCGACTGTCCCCCTCGGGCATCCATCCATCCATCCAAACCTCCCAGCCAACAAGGAACCCTTCCCCCCCACCGCCACCAGCAGTCCGGACGCTACCGCCAAACACCGCACCACAACCCCCAACGCTGGACAACAGCGTCCCCGGCATAATATGACAAGACCTCACGCAGCTGAAGGTGCCGACAACCCAAAATCAGATCTAAAGATGGTAGGGCAAGGCATGTGTATATGATAGATAGTGCAAGAAGGAGGAGGGACCAAAGCCAGACCCACGCCATTCTCATCCGCAATTCTGGGAGGTTTAATGTATTAGTTGAAAACCTGAATTGGGGTTTCTTTCCCCCCCCCCAATACCCTTTTATATACTCGAGTATATGATATCTCTATTGAGATCTAAAAAAAAAAAAACCACACCGGCCCGGTTAACGGTGCCTGGCGAGTTTGCCCTGAATTTCCGCGCTGAACTCGCGTATCGCAGTCATTCATTACCTAAACTTACCATTAGAACCCCCCAGTAGTGCTCGAGCAATACAGTATGATATGATACTTTACCACGAATTACACTAGGAGGATAAAAATGCCGTAAAGCTGCATTTCCCCGTCTTAAATTCCGATCCCAGGTAAATCCCGTTTTCCATCCTGGACAAAAATCATCCTACTTCGACGCCCACCACTTACTCGAGTAGACATTACTATGCTAATTTGCTCATTTTCCACAAGGAAAACCAACCTTCCCAATCTCTCCACTACAACAACACTGCATTCATCTGCTAAACCCACAATCTCAGGTCAGGCCTAGATCCCTTGATCAGTGTGAAAACTCTGCGCGAAGCGATAGTGCTATCCAAACGGAGCATAGCTTAGAGAGGCTGGGTGTAAATTTACCGGGCCTCATCAACAGTTATTTCGTTGAACTTGATCTGTTTACCGAATCGTGGTTTTTTGACCCATGGTCCCTGTCGAGATTCCCGATAGCGGATTTAAATACTCAAGTACCTACTCGTACAGCACACCGCTATATATATATAATGTACTACCACAGGAACTTTCATATCCAAACCTAATTTGGTCACTCGGTTGGGTGAGGAGCGAAAGAGAGTCTGGGTTACTTGTGGTTTTGTATATCGGTATGTGCTGGCAGGATGTATTCTTGTTAAAGATGCGCGAATTCTATATGTAAGACCCAAGCTTTTTTGATGACAGTTCGTCTGATAGCTCCTGGTAAGCTTACAGTAACTTATGTTACCGTACCGTGCCGGTATCGTATTATCATAATATTATCATACATAATAGTATGATATCATAACCTACCAGACATCCCTACACGAACCCTAACCCTAGTGAGTGAGAATTCGTGAGTCTGCCACTGCTAATTGTTAGAAATCTCTTCTAACACTAATCCATGGTCAAGGGCAAACGACCGGGATGCTCCCTCATGCTCATGGACAAGAATAAACTGCACGACAGGCTCTGCGGAATAGCTGATGTTGCGTACCGGGAATATTGTAGGAACAAAGTTTCATGGTTTCCTGTCAAGTTTCTCAAAGGCTAAACTACTAGCCGGCCATTCCTTTTGTGGAGAAATAGGAAGAAAGGTAGACAAGCCCCCCCCCCCAGATCGACCGAGGCTTTAGGAGGAATTGTGTGCATGCCTAGCGTTCGCATTCAAGCGTGAGGCCGCCGAACGGTACATAAATTGAGCATCGTCGTTGGCTGCACGAATCTACAATTACATACATTCCCCTAGTCACACCATGCTCTTAAACGCTGCACTATCTTGTACCACGCCTCAACGCTATAACAAGAGTGACCAATCGCGACATCGGCCACCACCTTTCCAGAGCCACTCCGCCACCAACCCGCCCCTACAAGAAACACAAGCAATGATAAACAAATGGGTGGATGGATGCATATAGATTATGGTACAGAAGAGCGAGAAAAGAGAGACCCAAACTAAAAACAACCCGCCAATTCCGGCCTAATCCTCATCCATAGCCTCCACATGTCCAGGTTTGCTCCCGTCTATATCAGCAGCAAAACTCGCCTCCTTATCCACCATCTCAACCAACACACCCACAATATTCTCCTCAATACCCCGCTTACCCAATTCCTCCAAATGCTTCTTCGGATCCACCTTTCCAACGTAGCGAGTCTTCATATCGTCCTTGGTCAGATCATTCTCCTCCTTGACACGCTTCTCGTAAGAATCGGCCAGGCCAACCATCTTTTCCAAACGTTCTTGGTTCTCCTTGGCAAGGAGCTTAAAATCCTTCATCGTCAGGCCGTCGGTCCATACCGTCTTGTGCAAGTTCATGAGCATGTTCTCCTCTAGGTGTGTTTTGCGGTAATTGATGAGGATCGAGTAATAATGTCGGTTCAGCCCGTGGATCAACGCTTGGATAGAGGGCTTATTGAGATGGCCGAGATTGGAGGTGGTCTGGCGAGGCTCCTGTCCGAGCATGAGGGATTGTGGATTGATCAGTCGGAAGGCGTCGATGACAACCTTTCCCTTGACAGATTGAATAGGATCAATGACAACGGCTACCGCACGGGGTGTTAGTTGTTCGAAGGACTGCTGGGTGTTGATATCGACGCTTGACAACCAACAGCCAAAACCCGGATGAGAATGATACCATCCGACGACGGTTTCCGGTCTGCATAGCAAACCCACAAAAGAGTCAGCGCCACCCACCCTTCTCCATCAACGTCCCATCCATCCACATACCTCCCAGTCTGTCTTAGCATGTCCATCATCTTAGTCTGGAACACTGGATCGACAGCTTCAACTGAAACACCCGTACCGCTCTGAGGCATCGCAAAAACCTAAAAACAATTAGCTCTCCCCTCCCATCCATCCCCATCCATCCAAGAAGCAAACTCACATCAACCACACGAACAGTATAATCATCGACAAACTCCCCCAACATAAGACCCATCACCTCCATCGGCACACCTACCTAACAAGTCAGCGGCTACTCTCCCCCCCTAGCACCGTTATGAAAGACAAAAAACAAACCAGCCCTCCCATGCCTCAACATCTTCAATAGCGCCAACGAAGAAATATACACGGTTTCAGAATTATCAATAACTGGCGTATCCTAAAGTAAAAAGTAAAAAAATTAGCTCAGTATAGACAAGTGAAAAATAGCTTGATAAAACAAACCACTCCCGGAGGTGCGCTCATCCCACCAAGCCCTTGAGCCGCAGCATACATCTGGTTTAGCCGATCCATGGTAACAGTAGATTAGGGGGAGTGGAGGGAGTATCTGATGGATGGATGGATTAATAGGATGATGAATGGACACTGATTTGGTCTAGAGGAATGGAGGGGTGCTCGAGTGAAAGTTGGAGGAAAGAGAGAGAGTGGGTACATAATTAGGGATGAGGTATACTACTACACCAAGCAATTTTCAGAATAGAGGTAAAGAATGAATGCCAAGACTGGTTTTCCATCACTCGGTTTTCCGTCCCGTAAATGGACTTCCGATGCAGTCGCCCTTGGCAGGGAACGAATTAATAGAATGTAGAATGGAAGAGACAGACCACTTTGGCCTCGATAGTGATGATAGGCTGGCCATGAGATGAGGGCATATCAAGTTTCGGTTCAGCATCTGCTGCTGGAAGACAATGCTGGCTAATCATGGAACTAAACCCAATCATATATCATACCAGTGCCGGATGATGACATACCATACCAAGTCGCCATCCTCAACCACCTCCCCAACCCCCTCCCAGCAGCAGCAATAAGTTACCACATCTCCGCACCCAACCAAAAATTTAATGCCGTAGACTTTAAGACTCATCAGTTGTAGGCTAGCTACCGCCTTTTAGTAATATCGTAACGTACATCACATCGTCATAAAGAAGATATAGGTAAAAAAACCCAAAGCAGAGAAAACAGGTAAAGAAGATATCCAACAATAACAATATCATGAAATACCATCCCATCCTGTGCCATGCTGCGCTTGCTTTGCAACCAATCCCATCTGTCTCAAGTACCATAAGAAATGAAATTACGAGTTATTTTTGAAACAAGACAAAATAATCAATGAAACAATGAGAAAAGGGGAAGAAGAAGAAAAAAACTCCAGATCAATGCAACATACACCTAATTTGTGTGGGAAGGACATAAGAAAAAATTGGTATTGGAAGAGGAAAATTCAAATATCCGTAGGCCTCTTCTTGAGGGAAAACTTCCTCTTCATTGCTCCGCTCCCTGCGTCGAGTTTTTCCTTTAACACGCCTCCCTTCTCTTTAATCGTGCCGACTCCGATAAATTCGATTTGAAATTTTGTCCCTTTAATCGGCTTCGTCACGCGCTTCCTTCCGATGCTCGTGGTAGACTCCGTTCTGTGCAATTCCTGTGTGTAGGCAGATATGTGCGGCGCAGAGATGGTACGTGAGAGACCTGGGTCTTCTGCGTCGTTAGAACCACCATGGCGGGGTCGCCACCACGGGTGAAGTTTAGACTCGCGCACGCGCTTGGGCTGATTAGAGATGGAGGGGCGGCGAGCCGTTTTACGGGTGCCGGACATGGAGAATGAGGTTGAGCGCTTGGGAACGGGGATTGAGGGCTTGGTTGGAGAGGTGGGATCATGGGAATTCTTTAAAGTTTGGACCCCACCGGTTGGCTTGCGGTGAAGAAGAGAGGGAGGGGGATTACCGAGTTGCTTATCGAGCTCTGCTGCGGGAGACATGAGCGGGACGGGAGTTGCTGGTATTACGTTAACTGCTAGCGGACCAGGTAGCGGAAGGGGAAGTTTCTTTGGGGCTTCAGGGTGCTTAGGCGAATTGGGCGAACCAGGGCCTAAGCCAGGGGCTGAAGCCTCAGATGCAGACTGAGTAAGGACGAGATCCACATTATTCTCCCGAGGGGATTTCGGAGACTTGGGGGATCTGGGGGTTCTCGGAAGGTTCTCAAGTTCGGCGTGTCGAGAGTGGGAATAGGATCGCGAGATAGGAGACATGGGAGGGGATGCGAGTCCACCTTCTTCAGCATCGTAAAAGACTTCATCATCATCCTCTTCCTCATCGGTAAAATCGTTCTCATCAGTATCCGCACTTTCTGTTTCAGCTGCCTCTTCGCTAGCGGCCTTCTCAGCCACCTCCTCAGCTGGCTCCCTAACGGATTCCGATGGATCTGCCGTTTCCCGTTGGGCATTCTCCATAGAAGATCGACAAGAGATTATCCGTGGTGTTGGCCAAGGTGTCACTTTTCTTCCGCCGGTGCCATTTATTCTTGCCTTGGCTATGGTTGCCCCCAGCGGGAGGTACTGGCCGGTCTCACTCTCATTCTCATCCTCCTCCTCTTTTGTGCTCTCTCCGGAATCTATTTCTTCCTGAGTTATTGCGACTACCTCTGCCTTAGCCTTGCCCTTGCCCCTACCCTTCTTTTTAAGACCATTGATCTCCGCGAGCACTTCATCCTCATCTTTGAATGCACCTGGGATAGAGTGCTCGGGTTCTGACTCATATTCGGATTCTGGCTCTGACTCAGGCTCAGGTTCCGGGGCGTTCATTTCGCTCTTGATGCTATCAACACTCTTATTGCTATTAACACTCTTATCGTCTCCCGAAGTATCGTGTTCCGGATCAAGAACAAACTCAAGCCTCCGTTCGACCGCCGGTGGCGATCCCAACGCAATTCCAATTTCATGAGCCATGGCGAACTCAGCATACAGCGCCTCATGGATCTCCACATTCTCTTCCAAAGAACCCTCTAGCTCACCGACACTACTAACCTGCTCTTCCTCGACTTCTTTGGGCTCCAGAAAGTCGCCAGAAACAGCAGGAGCAGTGCGCGGGATATATGGCGCAAACGTATGATCCACCTCATCCTTCCAAACAAACTCTTCAAGATCGAGCGAATTCTGCTCCTCCCGTCCCAGGTGCTCCTTGAGCCCAGGAACTTCTGTGCTATCTGCAAAATATGCGCTCTTAGGACTCCGCTTCAATGACTTTGGGTGATGGAGGCCAGATGGGGCGGCATCTTTTGGTGGGGTTGGTGGCGCACTAACTCCTGCTGGTACGGTAGGAGGCGAAACGGATCCCGACCCGGAGGGCGAAACCTCATGTATATTGGCTCTAACCCTCCTCAGAACCCGCGAACTCCTGACATGACGAGATTGAGGGGTCGTTAGCCCGTCAATGTCAGTGTTAGGAATTGGCCTTCGGCGGCCACGTTGGAACACAATTTCCTCGTCACTACCCCCGGAACTCTCCAAATCGTCTATGTCGTCGTGGGGACTCGCCGGAGGCGGAGTAGGCGGGGGAATCGGGCCGCCAGTTGGGATAGGCGTGGTTGAGAGGGAGCTAATCTTTCGCGGGATCACCGCCGCAAGGGTCCGTAGCTCGTCACAGAGGACCACACCGTCTTGATCCCGCGAGGAACATCTCGAATGAGCGGGGGATCTTCGAACCGGTGATATTCGGCCGTGCGCCAAATAGAGTGAAGCTAGTGACGAGCTGCTAGGATAGCTGTAGAGAGCATTCGTCGGGCCCCGGGAGGGAGAGTAGTCGATTGCACGGCGTGGTGGAGAAGTAGCCGCCCTCCTCCAAGTGAGCCGTCGAGGCGGGGAAACAGAAGTTGGAGGGGTCCGCGAATGAGGAGGAGAGTGAGACATGGCGACCGTATACCTAACCGATATCCCTCTTCGTCCCCCTTTCCAGCAGGAGTCGTAAAATAAACCACCAAAAGGGATATTTTTTAAAAATAAAAAATGGCAGGAAATAGGAAAAAATAAAAAAACCTCCGAGATGTCAAAAGTGGGGGGCTAAAGGGGCTGGGGGAAAATAAATCCCAAAAGAACAAGAGACTGACGAAACCGAACCAAACCCACAGTCCAAAAACAAGAATAAAATGGGGCTGGCACAGCCCAGAAACTATGATGCCGATACAATGATCCCTTTCTTCCTCTCCTTCCTATGATAGTATCTCTTCTTCCTTGGAAGCGAGGACTGAAGATCCCGGTAAGAACGCAGACACTAGGTATCGAACACCGAACCTTTGCGGGGTCGCAACCGTGAGTAATCCTTCCGTCCGCTCCGTCTTTGCTACTAGGCTTTTTGTGGCTTTTTTCGAGAGATCCGAAATCGGAGAAATTAGAAAAAGCCCGGAACAATCCTCCTTCCCTTCTCCTATTTTCTACTCGTACCTCTTTCCTTGTACTTTCCCTTCCTTTCCCTTCCTTTTCCAATGTTTCCCCTCCTCTCTTGAAATATTTCTCCACAAAAATGGCGTGATTGTTGTAGAACTGTTATATTACTCGCTCGACCGCGGTCCACTGTGGTTCTGTGTGGGGGATCTGGTAGTTTTCTCCTGAGGTTTGTTGGTCCAAAGCCGAACGTTGGAAAAAAGGTATTTCCTTCAAGTAAAGGAAAAGAGGGCAAAAAAAAAAAAAAAAAGGAAAGAAAGAGAATCAGACTTAGAAAAGGGGGGTAGGCAGTAAGTAAAGTAAAGTAAAAGAAATATATGATCGGAAGGGAAGGGGGGGGGTGGCAGTTGACGGAGGTCAAAAAAATTGGAGGTTGAGTTGTATCATATTATCGTAGACTAGCGAACCAGCTAACACAGGAAACCAGCCATCCAAAGCAGGCAGACAGAGCAGAAGGAGCAGAAGAGGGGGTGGTGGCGTTGGAAGAAAAAAATAAAAGAAAGGTTCACGAATTGAAATGCTAGCCTAGGTGCTCGTCAGTGTCTCAACGACTATCTACTTGCATGAGAAGGGAAAGTGACGGGAGGGAGGGTTGGATGCGCGTGTGTCTGGGTTTTCTCTCTTTGGGATGGAGGGGGTGGTGTGAAATCGAGTGATGGGCCAATTATCCACACTTCTTATCGTGAGCTTTTATGGGAGGAGGGGAGGGGAAAAAGGTTTTTGGGAAAGATGAATCAGCGGCGAACAGTGGTGAATATCGGGGAAGGAAGAACGGAAGCCATTACCTGACTTATTCGTGGTTTCCGCTGTTCTGTTTTTCTTCTTTTTCGGGGGGGGGGGGGGAGAGAGAGAGAGAGAAACAGAGTGATAACCTCAATAACTGCGAGGGATAGTAAGTATCATAGCTTAATTGAGCTCCAGTAATTATTCGTACGTTTTTAACAGGGCGTATCACCGCATCCAAGATATCAACGCTTTTTACGATATCATACAACACAATGCGGCTATATGAAGCTGAACTTTTTCTTCTTTTTTTTCTTCTTCCCCTTTTATTTCCATTTGATTTGATTTGCTCTGCAATCTCAACAAATCTGCTTCTTCTTACCTCTTTTAATCTTGGGCAAATTCATGAAACAACCCTCTCCTACTTCATTACCCTTCCCGAAAGAATGTCTCTGCCTACTGCACACGCGCGCGCTCACGCACGCGGAGTGGGCGAGGGAGGGGGATCCAACCTCTCAAAAGATAGAGGTATGATGGAGGACAGAGGGGTTGGGCAAGTGAGCGAGGGAGCACTGGACCGGGCTGCAGAATCGGCCGGATTAGCCAGTGGAAAGTAAACCTGTGTTCCAATGCAGCCCGTGTAAATCTGAACCAAAAGGTTTCCTTTCCACTTTTCGTCCCAATCAAATCGCAAATGGCGAGTGGAGGACGGACTTCTATTCGTTCTTTCGAGGACTACGCAGATGCTGTGCAGGTCGGCCTATAACAAGCCCTTGCGAGCACCCGATTAACGCGCAGGGTTGTGAGGGGAGAGGTTGCGACCGGTTATATGCGTCGCATTGGTGGGTTTTGGCTGTGGGAGGAAGAGGTTACAGTATTTAACAGCTAATGATTCGCCGCCTCGTTATTTTGTTTCGGTGGGGGATTGCGTTTTGGTTGGTGAGGAAGAGGAAGTGGGGGTGGAGGGGTGGGACGTACGGCAGCGGTGGATTCAGGATGGGCTGTTACTGGGGCCAGCGGACGGTTGCTTACAGAGCTGCTTGGCTAGGTTACCACCACTTACCGTAGTCCACCACGAGCAGGCTGGAGCGGACCGGGAGAGATTACTCGTACTGTGCTCGATCAGACACCAGTTAGTCTAGAAGAGGGAGAGAAGGATACCGGTATCGCAAGTAAACTTGTATCATATGATACTAATTATCTCCAAGTGCTCATGCCCACAATATGGCTTTCGAACTGCGAATGCGGGCGCTTTGCACAGTGCATACCGCACATTACTTGTACTGTACGAGTACAGTACTCGAGCACATACTGTCCGCTGTACTACCCGGTAGTAGCTACTCTACTCTACGGTATGCTGGCCAATCCTACCACTCTACCGTGCCCCCTTTCTATCGCCGAATTTCAAATAGAGGCTCTGTCCAGCCTCCTCCTCCTCCTCGGTATTTCAAACCTGGGTTACAGTATGGGGCTCAACTTACTATGTGTGCACAGATTAGAAGTATGATATGAAACTGGGGCTCATCGGGATCTCAGCCCCAATCACTCTTCTCCCCACCAATATCGGTACTGTACTCGAGTACTTGTTGTACCCTGCGACGATTGCTCTTAACGCTGTCAATGCATTCCTTCTCCCTTCCCTCCCCTTGCAGCACCGCCAGATCTTCCAGGCGTTATTGCGAGCGAATAGAGTATTCGTGGTTCAGATAAACGTTTTACTATATCAAACTAGTACATAACCGGGGGTGCGCAGTCGTTGCTGTGCACGTAATTGAGGTGAGAAATGGATGAGTTGTTGAGTGAAGTGTGTTGTGCTGTGCTGAGGCTTCTTCAGGGCTTGCAGGCGGCGGGTGGCGGAAGGGGGGGGGGTGATGTGGCGGTTTGCAGGTGAGTTAGCAGGTTCTGGGCACGACGACAGATATTCGCCGTGTTTTAACCGGTGTTTTGATGATGAGGTTTGTAGGCTGCCTGGTTAGATAACGTTTCTTAAAGGGCAATTGGGGCCTTCTACAGGTGCCTAAATTTCCCCAAGGCTCCCACGGCATTGCAGTGCTGATATGGGTGATGATAGGTCACGGTAGTTCTGGTCCAAGTTAACTTGATCCCCGCGGCAGAACTGCAGATGATACATGCATAAAAACACTACCGGTGCACTACCGGTACTCTACTCTACAGCGCCGGACGGCACTCGAGTACCGGTGTCGGTACTTCCAGAATGTATCCTACCGATGCCACAATTAACGGTCGTACACCCGGCCCGGGAACATAAGCTACCGGTGCTCGAGCCTGATGATACTTGACTTCTGCAATACCGGTACTCGTACAGTCACATCAGACTCGCGTCGATATCTCCGAAAAAAAGAATGGAAAAAGAAAAAAGAAAGAGAAAATGGAAGACACATCCCACCTCCGAAACATCACTTGATTTCTTCCCTTTTGCTTTTCTCAAGGAATGAAGTGCAGTTTCCCTTGAGAATCCGCGGTTCGCACTTCATTTGATTTCAGACAGGTCATATCGCTCCCCCCCCAGCATCGGCCAGATGAGAGATCGAGCGAGTCGAATGAGGGAGAGTGGTCGTGGAATGGTAGATCGGGTTTGCGTGGATGATGGATTGTGGGGCTGGAGGCGAGAAGGAGGCGCCGAGAGGGGATGCGAGTGGGGGGGGGGGAAGGAGGAAGTCCTCAATTGGGGATTGAAGTCAAACAGCTTTGCAAACGGCCCCCTCAAGTTCGTTTCTCACTCTCGTTACATCCACTCAGGTCAGGATGTCTGGGGGGGGGAGATGTGGTGGTTGTGTGATGTGTGATGTGTGTGTGCCTGAAGTGGTGGCCACGCCACATGGATTTATTGATCTGTGAGAACCCTTCAGTGATCACGAGGGGAATCAACGCTATTGGGTCGAGAAGAAACAGCTCGCACGCTGCAACTATTAATAAGACTGATTCTTAAAACTGTACCAAGGTTGGACTGGTGCGCCGACCAGGAGTCTGAGGAATACTGGCGGCTGGTACCAACAAATCCCTTGGTTGTGCAAGAAATCAATCAATCTTGGTGCGCAAGCTCTCTGATGATTGAAATGTTGTCACGCGAATTGGTGTGGATACCGCTATCTTCCATGGGAACAAGGGAGGAATGAAACAGTTTTTTTAGTTTTTTTTTCAAGGCATTGCTATCATAATCTCTAGGGGAGTTCTAAGAGTTTCTGGCTCCACTGAATTGGTAACTCAGAGATATCAAGTGCCTGTTCCATGCTCGGATAGGAAACGAAGAAGGGGAGTTGTACTGTAGAGTACCGTATGATACTTGTGCACAGTATCGGTGGCACCTTGCTACTCGTAGTAGTAGGAGCATCATAAGACATAAGACATAAGGATGAAAGCACACTGCGGAGCGGTTCTAAGGGAAACGGGGGATAGTTGAGAGAGAGATAAAGAGGTTTGTGGTGCAAGGGTTTGGGGAATTCAGAAAAACAGGGCCTAAATTTAATCTGTTGCGCTATGACGGTGGGGGATCCAGCCAAGCCCAGAATGACGTTCTTGAAAAGAGGTGTCACAGGTAGACTAACCCTTGCTGTTGCTCTCCGTCATCTTGCATCATACCTAATCTCCCGCCACTCCTCTAAAATCTTTTAGAGCCAGATTTTTGGAAGACTTTTCCATCCTGATTTTGCTCGACTTGCCACTCCTGCAAACCGAAGCCTTTGACCTTTCCCTTCTTCTGCTGTTCCGCTGGCTATCCGCAGGTTATGATACTTGTAAAGTACTCGTACTCGTACGATGTGCCTTTGAAATCTAGTCTAACTTCTGCCCTGTCAAATCTTCCGTGCTGTACCCTATCTCAAGTGTGCACGGTACCGGTACTGTAGAGCAAGAAAAACCGGTATGATACTGGTGTGTGCTGTGCAGTACGTTTCTTAGACTAAGACACGGGATGGCTGGGATAAGTCAACGCTGAAGCCCAGGTGTCTCCGGCTGCGGAAGATTTGTAAACGTGAGTCTGTGCTGGATTCGCTCCCGAGGGCGTAAATTTCGAGTAAAAACTGATATGATACTCCACAAGTATTTGTATTTAGGGGAATAGTGATACCAGTATTTGGATTCCTTTGGAATGTCGACTAGGACGGCGCGGGATTAGGGGTTGGAATGCCGATATGTTATTGTGTTACATATGGGGTGAGAGGTAGGGCTGTGCGTCCTTGCTCGCTCGTAGGGTGGGGATGGCTCAAGTGTCTTCCAACTGGGGAAGATGAAAGCGGGGGAAAGAGATGCAAGAGCACAGAGTACGAGTACAGCGCCTCCCCGCCCCCCTTCCAGTGGTGACGATTTGAGTGACGAAATTTCTCGGCTTCCGAATTCGACTTGTCTCCGCCAGTCGCAGTTTAGTTAGGTCTAGTTACTCAAGTAGTCTACAGTGAACAATGCTGAACTTCCCTCGTCCATTGAGTTCTCTCTCCAACCTCCATCACAAAGTTTACCACTATCAACAGCTCCAATTGCGGTAATTTATCCCCATCTTCCCAGCTTTGGATACGGAAACCCCGTTTTACTTTGTGTCTCTCAGTATCGCTGCCTCTCCGTCATCTCAGCGCTGCCAATTGTCAAGCTATCATACCTATTTACATTACAACCTTTGTCCCCATCACGCCCACAAATTCGACCCCCCCGATATCTCCCCATCCCTCGAGCAACTCCCTGATCTTGTAAAAGTAAACAATCTCGACAGGATCGATCACACTATTTACTACGAGTACTAGTTTTCCAGAACTCTATCAATATCCTATAACCAATTCATACTCTGGGATAAGGAGGAGGGACACCATTACCCGCAGTGATCTAACTTACCCTCACCATCATGCCTATGATAGAGGTGAGTTACAGGCTCCTATATTTCGTTGGTCTTATACCCCCTTCACTCCCCCACCCCACCCCCACCCTTCATCCCCTCTCCCCCTGGCTCCTCCCTCTCCGGGCCCTGTTTGGTTCCTCCCTCTTCCTTCTTCGTGAATCTTGTAGGTACCAAATCCTGGACTACGGATGTCATCGTGCTTGTTTCTGCAGCCTCATGGCGGTGGCTTCCTATCATATTTGTATCTTAGGAATATAGTCTACTCCTCCTTCCTATCACCTAAACAACTATTCGCTACTTTCCTACCTCTGTACCTGCCTCCTTTGTGCCCTTTCTTGAGCAGTGCTAGCGCCATGTTTTGCCCTTTGTTGCGGTGCCTTCACCCTTAACTTTACACTTCTATCATACAATTACTTTCCTACCCCGCTTTCCCCTCCACCACTTGTTCTAAGCCTCCTGTCTACATATCTCGGTTTTTCGACGCCAGTGCAGAAATTTCTCCCCACCGCAAACAAAGAGTGCTTCAGGCTAATGGAATCACCGTACCAGAACCTCAAAAACTTTATCCGTCATGGGAAACAAGCGCGGAATCATGATGCCCATTCCCACCTTACCCCTCCACAGCAACAGTATGCGCCCTCCGACCCAGCAACCGACCCAGTCGATCACCATCACACCCAGCAACATCGGGGGCAAGACTATTCAGTAGCTCCTGGTGCTGGCGATAATCGTAACATTGTGGCGGCAAACGCTGCTGGGGCGCACCAAAGCCATCCGCCTGATCCAGAGGTGGTGACTGAGAGTAGTCATTTTGGCATCTCTGCTGGTGGAATCGGCGCTCATGGCGGAAAGGCGTATGATGAGAACGTACTGGCAAAGATTGTGGCCGAAGAGAAGGAGAGCCGAGAGAGGTTACCAAAGTACCCTGGCTTGGAGAGGTGGGCTTTGAAGGAGAAGATGGGCGATGGTGCCTTCAGCAATGTCTACAGGGCGGCGGATACCAAGGGGGAATACGGAGAGGTTGCTATTAAGGTTGTACGGAAATACGAATTAAGCGCATCACAGGTATGAGGTCTCTCTTTTCGTTCTGCTTTGCCGCTTTTCCTTGCTCTTTTTTACCTTTTACTATAAAAAGAGGGGAAGGCGGTGCGCACCGATTTTGGGGAAACTTTTGACCAACGTGTATTGGGGGCTGCTTCGACCTAGAACAACGGCCATCTGCATCCCGATTTTAAAAAGGTTCCGAAGACAGTAGAGGTGGGCAAAGCCCTTCCTGCCATGCCCCTAAGTTTACTGCTTGAGAGCGTAGCCTTCTTTTTCCTTCTTTTTCCTTTTCCCTTGAGCTGTCTAGCAGGTCGATGGCTTTCTTTCACTTGGGCTCGAAACGGGGGCCAGGTTTTAATTGGAGAGCTTTGCTAATCTTTGCCTGTAGAGGTCAAACATCTTAAAAGAAGTGCAGATAATGCGAGGGCTCAATCACCCAAATATTGTCTCATTGATTTCATTTTCGGAATCACGAAGTTTCTATTACCTTGTTTTGGAGCTATGTCCCGGGGGCGAATTATTCCACCAGATCGTTCGTTTAACATATTTCTCAGAGAATCTTAGCAGACATGTTATCGTACAGGTAGCAGAGGCGCTCAGACATTTGCATGAGGAAAAAGGTGTCGTGCATAGGTAAGGGTTCTTTCGGTCAAATTCGTCACATCCCCGCCTTACTCCCAATTCCTGCACAATCAGTTTTTGAGCCTCCAACTGACGTCATTGTGCATAAATGAAGGGATATTAAGCCTGAAAATCTACTATTTGAACCCATTCCCTTTATTCCAACCAAGAACCCTAAACCCCGGGCCCCAGAAGATGAGGACAAAGTGGACGAGGGCGAATTCTTGCCCGGCATCGGAGCTGGTGGGATTGGTCGGATCAAGGTTGCCGATTTCGGTCTTTCGAAGGTTGTATGGGATAATAAAACGATGACGCCTTGTGGAACTGTTGGATACACCGCTCCTGAGATTATCAAGGATGAACGATATTCGAAGAGTGTCGATATGTGGGCTATGGGCTGCGTTTTGTACACTCTGTTATGCGGATTTCCACCTTTCTACGACGAGAGTATCTCGGTGCTCACCGAGAAGGTCGCAAAGGGCCAATACACATTCCTGTCACCATGGTGGGACGATGTTTCCAAGTCCGCTCAAGACCTCGTATCCCACTTATTGACCGTCGACCCGGAGAAGCGCTACACAATTCACGAATTCATGGCCCATCCGTGGATCCGAGGGACAGACGAAGAGACAACTGCAGCCCTGGATGCCCCGCCTCTCGCCACACCCGTGATCAGAAACGCAAACAAGGCCTTCACCCCAATGGTCGTCGAACCGGACTTTGGTCCAGACACGGGTGGCCCAGGCGCCGCTAAAAGAATGGACTTCCGTTCCCCGGGCGTGGTCAGCTTGCGCGAGGTCTTCGATGTGGGATACGCAGTACACAGAATGGAAGAAGAGGGCAAGCGCCGGAAGAACTGGAAGCAGGGCTACCGCGGGGGTCCTCAGCCCCTGAATGAGGAGGACGAATTCGACTCGGAAGACGACGAGGTGGGTGAGCCTGTCAAGATCCCGAAGGAGAGCGATGCGGACGACGTCGCGGGCATGGAGCAAACCCTCCGACAGACGGATCTGAACGCGGGGAGCACGTATGCTGGCAGCGTAGCGGCTGCGAGGGGAGCGGGGGTCTCGGGGCTGGCAAAGCAGCAACAGGTTGGTGGTGGTGGTGGTGCGAAGCAGGTGACGGCACCATTATCCGGGCGAACGAGAAGGAAACAGGGAGGTCCATTTGAGCTCTCACTTGAAAACTCGACGCTGTTGGGACGGAGGAAGAGGACCGATCAACCAATTGAAGCATGATTTATTGACCGATGTTTGATTGAAACAGTGAGAAGGTGTATTACTCGCATACAAACCTGAGGCGGGTGGGATTTCACGATATACATATGGACGAGAAATGAGGCAGGGGCATGTAGCATTTTTTATTTTTTTTCCCTTTTTCTTCTGGTCATCACCATCGTTTTTATTTTTCTGCCTTTTTCTTGCTCAACTCAAGCATGAACCCACTATATCTACATTCGTACTTTGCAGATCACCAATTCCGTCCTCAATAAATACCATCTCAGCCCGCTGTGCAAAAAAAAAAAACGAGTCAACATAAAGTAAAATGTATCACACCAACGGGACCCCAAACCCACCCGCGCGCACACAGAGAGCCACGCAAAGCCCGGAGTTCTTGAATAGCGCGACAGCGATTGATCTCCCCGGTATGTTATTTCATCAACCGACGAGGAAACGAGAGTATGTATACTTCGTGGCCAAATTTTTTCCCGGGTGACAACTTTCATGGAGTGAAAGGGGGGGTGTGGGGAATTGCTGGGTTATATAGTGCGTGGAGGACGGGAGGGTTAGGGTTTGTTAGGTACGGAGCTTGGCGGAACAATGAAACGATTGGTTCAGTACCGGTATCATACGGTCCTGTTTTGGCGCGCAACCATGAAAAATAAAAAGCCGTTTTTCCAAACACTCCTCGATATAATTTTTTATATAAAAAAAAAAGAATGCCATTTCTCTTGCGTGCCAAACAGGTGCCCTACATAAGCCTGTTGACAACGATATAACACCTCGATAAAACCCAGAACTTGAGTTTTCCCTTCCCTTCCAGGTTATCACAAATAAATCTCCCATTTTCCTGGCGGGTTGTCCATCGACCAAAGAGCAAAAGGTGGTATTATGCCCCGGAGCTTTTTTTGTATCATGGGAAACTGTGGGGTGGGGGGGGTTGGGCCATTTTTCAAAATAATTTTAGCTGTTAGGCAATCAATCTGTCTTTACTGCGCCTGATTTAAGCTTTTGTATACGAAAAATTTGGCACAGTTCTGAAGCCTTTACTGTTATTTTTCGTTATCCGTTGGGTAAGTTAGGGAGGAAAACCGGCTATCATACTTAAAGTCTGCTACTTTTGGTTGTGATACCTTGGTACACTTACACCGCGGGTGATTTTTTTTTTTGTTACAGTGCTAGTTGGCCGGTAAACCAATGCCCCGTTGCTCTGGCACCCTTCTAGCCCGTTACTTATCCAAAGGGCGAGTACTACTTCATCAGCCCTTAGTGACCGGTGCTCGCATCATATCCGCTCTGTAAAAACAAAATCCGCCGTTCCTGTGTCGTTGCGAATGTTCCGACTCTGATAGCTGGAGCGGGATACGGTTGTTGTGGCAGTGGACTCGTGGTCTTTGGTGCTTCTATGTATGCTGGGTCTTGCTTGATAGCGTTGGTGTATAGTTGTGGTCGTGTGGTTGCTGCTGGTGCTGGGGTTCATTGGTGGTTGGTGTACAGTACTCGAGTAATGTTGAGAAGCCGAGAGGTTTGGTGGTGCAGTGGGCTCGGACAATTATGGGTGAGGCTTGTGTTAACTATGAGTATAGTATCATATATTATAAAGACGATGTCGTTGACTACTACACCTTGGCATTCCCACCGGTACCGATGGTTCTCTAGCGCATGACAGTAGGGTGCTAGGTGATTTCTTCAAATTGCATTGACAAATGGTGAGGACGTATGATGCTGGGTTGTGTGGGTGGTGCAATGAGTGCTATAGAGGGTACTTGAGTAGAGGTTGAGATATGGTGCCTAAGTTAACTTGCTTGACAGGTTTGTTGGGTGCATTCTGCTAGAATCTGAATCGCGAGATATTCCCACCCTTCAACATCATACCTTGTTAGGCAAGGGACCCAACGCATTACAATGCCGCAGTATAAGATGTGTTGTATCGGGAAGCGGCCGGAGCTCACAGTTAAAATGGATAAATAGCCTTCTCTCCCTTCCCCTCAATACTTGACACGAGCCGAGGGTTCAAATTTCGAGTGATCATCCGTGAGTTTACAATCCTTTGAGCAGGCTTTACATCATGGGTGGTCACTCGGTTACTTGCCGACAAGAGCTTCAGTTAGTTGTGGAATATTGAACGTAGTCTAAAACCCCCCTGCTTTTTAAAAAAAGGGGGAGGGGAACACGATAAAAGAAAGAGCTGCTCAGTACTTTTGAGAGACAAAAAACAAAAGAAAAAGCACCAGACCTTACCAGAGGAAGCGCCCTCAACAATTTATGATATCCCGCGGTTCGATCTCTTTGACATTTTATGGAAATGGTGTTGCCAGTGGGGCTAGAGCTAAAACCCGGACATGGTAACACAAAAAAGCTTACTATGAATCATGAATAGCAGGTATATACACCTTTTGCGCTCTTGCGTAGTTTTATTTTTATGTTATACTAGTTGTTCGTGGTTGCGAACGTGCCTTTGAACATAGAGATGTGAGCCCTTTTGCCATTGGGCTGTCAATTCCTTTTTTTTGAGAATTTAATGGCACAGCAGTGCCCAGGGGTGGTCTGAGCTTTAGTGATACTCAACGCATTAGAACTCCTTTCCCGTTCACAGTCAAGTATAAAAACTTCCTTGTTGCACTGATATTCGTGTTAGCCCAATTTCTTTGAAGACAAGGAATAACGTACAGGGAGCAAGTTGTTATGGACACGACATCATATATATTTCCTTTCTTGGGGTCCTGTTTCTTCCCCGCGCCGGCGTTGGTCTGGCAGACTACTGCACAACCTTCTGTCTCCCCTTGCTCGCCGGAAAATAGGCATTACTGAAATGATGTTAAGGTTTCCGGGCATCGTACAGCTAGTAAAATAGCTCAAGAACTTCCACCCGCGTGCCATGTTTGTTACCTCCGATATGCAGTACGTGTAAACTGGCGGACATAAATGCTACGCAAATACGGTATCTTGGGCACGGAGCTTCCTATGCTCATCCTGCATACGGTTGGCGTTTTACCTATTTAGGTCTCAATACTACTGTAAACCCTGCTCGGTTATCGGTGTCATTTTTTTTGTTGCTCAGGAGCAGAATATTGTTTCCCTGATGGTACATACTGGACTGGCAATATTTTCCGCTTAGGGAAGAAAATATAGAGACGAAAACAGTGTTGTATCATAACAGCGCTAAGACCCCCAACGCTGCTGCGTGTGGCGGCGGCCCCGTGCCGAGTGATGGTATGCGCATACTCAAAGTCGGGAAAAAGGACGACGAATTGCTTCGCTCCAGTAGGCAATCTCCCCAGTATTACCTTTTTTTTTTACCAATATTACATGAGATCTTGTTTATCGAATAAGATAATTTTAGTTAGCTCTTGTTACTGGGTGGCGTGCTGTACTGGTTCCCAAAAGTGACTTCTGTCGCTCAGCTCGAAAGTCCGGCGAATTACCATGAGCGATGAATAGAGAGTAAGAAATACCACTCTATCATATAATATTTACTATTATTTTCGGCTGCCTAACTTGGAACCACCTGTCCGTCCGTGCGGAATCAGTAACTTGCTTCCAAACACTGTCCTCCATAGCATTTTCTGTCACTGGTACTCCGGTCGTGATTTTTTTGCTTTGGAGACGTAGTGATCTTATTATTGCTTCTTTGGCGGCGGATGTCTCCAGCCCTCTGGCCGAGATGACTCATCCAGAACGGCCTCACTGCCTCACTACCTCACTTTAGCGTATTTGTCCCTAGAAGACAATGACCACACACAGGCCAAAAATTAATTCCCATTATTATCCATAACACTCCAGTCATTTTTGCCCATCTCCCCCTTTTCTGTTCCAACTTCACGAATATAATTCCGGAAACGACATGACAAACACGGCCTAGTGGTATAACACCATGGTTTCTCCAGTTCTGGCACCCCATAAAAATGTGGTTTCTCGGATTTTCGTTGCAAATGAAATGTTTCAACATTGCACTTTCTTGGTCGTAGCTCAACTTGCATGACCCCTAATGGATTTTCGCTTTCATCACAGCGATAGGTAAGGAGGATGTTGGGCCCGGCCCTGATAGTCAGGTGTTTGGTCCTTCCTCGCACTCCCTGCGGGTATGTGGTAACCCTGAAGAAGGATGTAGCGTGGAGACATGTAAGCCTTTTGTTGCTGACCGAGGCAAGTTCTTTGGGAGGATCCGAAGTGCCGTGGATGTCTACTTTGTTAGCCCGCTCTAAAAAGAAAGTAGTGACTGACGAGCACTTTGCCAGCCCTATGAGAGAGGAGAGGGAAGCTAACATAGACTCCACGCGACTCGCCAATGGTATTAGAAGTAACCATTACAATGATGGAGAGACATGCAGGAGCTCGATCAACCAAGAGGACTATGAGGTATGAGAACCAGTGCGACTCAACCTGTGGTAACTTATATAATCCTATAGATAGAAAAGAAAGAATCACATTCAATAATATTATACAATTGATCGATGCAAGGAACACCTAACTAGCCTGTACTAATTGCTCTTGCGTAGTTGAGCATGCGCCGAGGAAAGTGCGAGCCCCCAGAACTAGAGGAATAAAAAAAAGTCTCTCAGAGAAGGTGCCCTTGATCGCCAGTGGTACTGTGTGCGATCAGATAGACTAGTGATGTATATTTTCCCTTACTGGGCAAATCCGCATTTGGAACCAAAGTCATCTTGACGCACAACTTGAATGTGAACAGGAAATCATTCCATCCAGGAGGTCATTGCTTCCAACGAACCCAAATCGGCGTGCACTTCTCTCCTTGACACCTACAACTTAAGATCCTTCAATTCCTTCCAGGAACTAATAAAATGTTGGTCCCGAACAGACCCCAGGCATGCATTACTCAGCCACAGTTATAGCAAGGCATTCCATGTGGCAGCGTGGTCGCGATACTATGGGTATCAAAGTCAAGACTAAGGACTAAGCGGAGGCGATTGCAAAACCCTGGGTTCTAGAGAATCAACCTTCCTTTCCGGCACTTCTCCTGCCAATAACGGATGAAATCAGGCTTAATTTACCGGGTAAGACCACCCCGTCAACACTTTCTAATGATAGTTATTCCCTGCAGCCCTCTTCTAGTTTGCGCTTGTAAGGCTCTTCCGATCGTAGGCACTAGGTAGGAGAGTTGGAATTTTGTTCCGGCGGTCAAGGTTTGGGAGACAGTGTCATATGGATCCGTATGGGCATGACTGATGCTATGTAGTACGGCTGCAAGGATTCCTACGTCACATTCTAGGAGAGCCCAAGAAGGGGCTCTGCGGGCGAGCCAGTGAGAGATTGTGCGTGTTTTTGCTTCTATATTGTATGCATTACTAGCTAACCAGAGTAGTGTTATTAGACGTCCGATAATGGCTGTCATCACTTTCAGCCACTCGGGAGGTTACCAATGTTATCTCTCTCCGGCCAGGAAGGCTGCTGTCTAGTGAACGGGGGTAAAAAGGCGGTTGGTTATGATAGGATATGGTTTGCGCTCGGGTACAAGCTGGATGTGCGGCGAAAGGGTTTCATTGTGAAACAGATGGTTAATGATGGGGATATGAACAGAGCAATTGGGAAAGCACAATTCAACTGTTTTCTATGCCCAGGGAGTGGGAACTGCAAGTGTCATGCTGAACGATTACTAACTCCTATCCTTACTTAATATTTGTCCCGAAGAGCACTGGGCTGACTCTCCTAATGTCTTGGCGCAAGTCACCATCACATGACACTCGTGATTGGTTTCACGCAACCACACCAAACCCACCAAGCTGCACAGTTACCTTCCTCGCTCCCACCCTTCTGTCCACCCCTTCCATCCACTAATTCTTGATAAAAGAAACAAACAACAATGGCACATAGGTCAGGTGCAGATCTGGACGAGCTATTCGAAGGCATCGAAGATGCCTCAACATCACGACCCCCGCCATCTGCTCAAGATGAGCAGGACCTCCTCGCGGGCCTTGAGTCACTTGCCGCTGGCCATAAAACCTCTTCCCGTCCGCACACGCCTCGGGTTTCCACTCCTAGCGTGAGGTCCCGTACACCGATGGGTCGCAATAGCGGGGAGGGGTACAGCGGGTATGGAATTCCTCCGATTGGGAGGGATAGTGGAGACGTTAGGCGGGGAGGAGATAATACTCCCACACTTAGAGAGAAGGGGTCAGCGGTCACCCCGGTAAATGCTGCCGAGCCGCCGGCTAGTGTTTCTTCCATGTCGAGTACGGGCATAACTACTGGTGGAGGAGGCGGGGGGTGGGGGTGGGGAAGTATTTGGGAGACGGCGGCGAGCACTGCTACCGCCGCGGTCAAGACTGCAGAAGGGGTCGTGAAGGAGCTGCAGCAGAGCGAGGAGGGGAAAAAGTGGGCGCAGCAGGTTAAGGAGAATGCTGGTGCTCTGCGTGGACTCGGTTTGTTTTGCCTTCCTTACGTCATACTACGAGATTCTATGCTTTGTAGCTAACAGCAGGGGTTCCAGCTGGAGACGTGAAATCTAGAGCCCTCCCAACATTTACCACTTTGCTACATACACTTGCCCCACCAATTTCTTCCCACGAACAGCTATGTATTCACATTACGCATGATCTCGAGAACTACCCGTTTGTCGACACGGTCGTTTACGGAGTTTTCGACCGGGTGATGCAGCAGGTGGAAGGCGGTGACCTTCTCGTTGTGCAGCGCGGCGGGGGGTCAAAGCCACGCTCGTCGCTAGATGGTGCTTTCGGCGGACCCTGGTATAAAGGGATGGAAAGGCGAGACCTGCATGCCACAGTCGGCTTACAGGAAGGAATCAAACTTGCGAGCGTTGCAGCAGAATCCTATGCACAAGAGTTCTTGCAAACATCGGATGCATTCACGGGTCCCGCAAGCAAGGACAACCCCACTAGAAAGTCAAATATATTTCTCGCCATCCAGCCGACAATCCATTCCCAGCAGCCCTCTCCATTAGCACCAAGGGGGGAAGACTCAGAAGAACAGGAAGATCAAGCAGTCGTCTTTGCAATCCACCTCTTCGACCCTACTCACGGCATTTCCTACTCAACCGTATCCCAAGCCCTCCCCACCCAATGGCTAGAATGGCTTGATGCCCCTCCCCCAGCAGATGCCGCGCCGGGCGAGTGGGCCGTGCCAGACGTTATCAGGAACATAATAGACATTGGTGGTATCGATCCGCGAGAATGGATTGTGGAGTGGGTAGAAGAAGCGGTGGGACTCGCGGTGGGCGTTGTGGCACAGAGGTACGTTGCCAAGCGAATGCGAATCGGAGATTCAGGCAGTCATGACGGGTTGAAGGGTAAGGAGGTCAGTTCTGGAGGGGAGGAGGCGAGGGCGGTGGCATTGTAGTCATTGGCCTGTCAGTATTATAATTGTTATCCGGTCTTTCTTTGGGGGGTTTTTTGTCTTCTCTACATTTGCTTTTAAAGTGTGTTCTTTGGATTAGTTTGTCATATGAATTATGTCTTTTTTCGCGGTCCGGGATTTACAGATTCTGCTCGCTGAGTGGGGTAGGGGTGGGAAAGGGGAGATATTGAGTGCGATATGGTGTTGACTGCTGAGCGAGTGAGCGGGCAATCGTGATCCTGACGCCGATATGGTGGTACTTTGCACATCACCGTACCTCCATCTGTCCATCCACAATAACCACTTGTAACAGTACGATCGTACGGTGCCACAACCTACGGGTGCCCGACTCTACCCAACCCTTCTGTGCTACTATTACTACCACCCAAAATCAGATGCGCTCCAAGTTACGAAGCCCCTTGCACAGCTGACAGATATCGGCCATACGGTACTTCCCCACCGCCACTACTCGAGTACGACACCGCTATGTTACTCCGCTCGGACCTAAGTGGTGCGGTGGCCCCGGCTGTTCTCACGGGTGTCGTCGTGCTATGAGCACTGGCTGAGACACCCTACACCAATATCTTATCTGTAGAGTACTAGTACAAGTAACCCTCCACGAGCCGCAATGCATCGTACCGGCATATGCTATCATAGTACCGGAGGCGTTCTACGGGTCCCCCCCCCCCCTCAGCAGTGGGGAAGAGCGGGATGTCCTCGAGATCGACTTATCGCGCAGTTCCACGATCCGTGCATTCAATTTTCAAAATTTTCATTTTTCTTCCCCCGTCTAGTTCATCCCCCTAAGAGGCACTGTGAGTGTGGTCCCTTCCTCCTTTCGGAGTCGCTATGCGGCGGGTATGATACTATCAGTGTTGTATTTGTGGTACCGGCAGAGCACGAGCATGGCGACAAAAATGGCGAGCGGAATGGCATGTAACGACCTAAACCATGCTACGGTATCGGTACGATACTTCACGCTGTTTTTCCACTCAATACACTCCAAAACTGTAAAAACAAAAAAATATCTCCCAAGCACTCGCAGGGTATTGAGGAATTTTTGGCTAAACTAGTTTGGCATCGCAATATTTGTAAAGGTTGAAGTCGGAAATTGTGCCAAGCTTCGCTATTTTCCCATACAAATCCATCGCAAATTGCGCCAAGACCGATATACCGACCATAGCTCCTGATAATTCCGCAGCGAGTTTAGATATGGAGTTCTAAAGGGTTTGGAAGTAAAGTGAAATGCGTGGAATCGCTTCACAGATAGATGGAGATTTGCTTGACCGGATTAGCGGTTGGAAAGGCGTTAATAGGGCTGTTTTCGGTGGGAAAACTCTTAAGTTGTGTACGAGTGCACTGCTCATCGCTTTTGGCGCTAGCCTCGTCTCTGTGTGCGGTATGATACTTTACTCCCCGTGATGGCCCACTCGCCGCATACCGCACGGTTCAGTACGGTTGTGCATATGGCATCATACTTGTAACGAAGGTGTGGCGGAACCTGATTGCTTGTGCAACTACGAGTACCAAATACAAAGTGAGGCCGATGGGTACGAGTACTGTACTGTACGGTGCGATAGTCTACTCGTATATCCGCCACGTGCCGTTTCCGGGCAAACAGTGACAAAGAAGGTTCCCATCAAAATTTTCTCGCATACCGGTACCGGTACTCGTATATCAGGCTTCAACGTGACGGATATAGTCTATCTGTCAGCTGCAGACTTGTATCGCTCAAGCCACAATACAGCGAGTGATCTGTTTTTTTTACGCCACTATTCTCACTTCCGTTCCTTCTTACTCACTCGAGTTATGGTGGGGGTTTATGAGGGTGATTGCATTCTGTGCTGTAGATGAAGGGATGGGAATGGGTTATTTCTTCGTCCCTTTCTTACAATAGTTCTCCCTCAGAGAGTTGAACAAAGGTACCGGTACTGACTGTACCGCGCCACTTCCTTCTTTTCCTTTCTCGGCCCGGTCTGGACGTATGGTTTGCTTCCTGAGTTCGAATATCATCATGGAAGCCGTAATTCCTTCGCAGCAAGACGCTGCATGTATATATCATACAGTACCGTACGAGTATATTTTTCTTTTTCCTTTCTGTCCCCACCGCCTAACTTAACTTAACCCCTATCCTATCCCAGAAGGGGAATTCCAACGACACAGAACACCCCTTGCATTCGCGCAGTCTCACCCGCTCGCTACCCGATGGCCAAAATATCATACGGGTACCATACAGTGCGAAGAATGGTCCGGAAGGAGCAGGTCGTCGGGGTCGGGATTTGTTTCGAAGAGGTTTTCGAACTCGCAAAGCTTCACTACACGGCCATATCCGGATTACCGAGATGGGGATAGCGGGGCGTGACTGCACCGGTAGTATTGGTTAATTGTGAGACGATTGGTACTGTACGGAGGTTTTGGGCTAGCGCCACTATATATACATATATATAATATAAGTTGTCTTTTTGTATGGAAGTGTTTACGGTCAAACTTTTCCCAATTGTTGCGGTGGAGCTGAAGGGGAGGGGGGGGGGGGCTCCTGTCAGATGGCGTGGGGCTGTTGCTGTGAAGCGGTTGGTTTGCCTGGGTTTCGCTGGTCGAGGGGCGGTGAGGGGTATGGGGAGTTGGAGCGGGATGAAAGCGGTATCCTGGTGGGATGAGATATCGTGGTGGTCTTGGGCAGTGGGTTTGTAGAATTGGTAAAGTAAGCCTTCCGATCCCGGTAGGCATTTATCGGAAATGTCCGTTGGGGGGAATATCCATTGCCGGTATAATACTCTTCCAATCTTGATACAGTATTTACAATACCCGTCTCTGAGTCTATAAACTGCAAGGCCAGTTCACACGCATAATGTTACTATCAAATCAATGACCCGCGAGGCATTGGCTATCGTCCACCATCTCGGAGTGGGGACGTCTTGGATCTCCACTCCAGCATCAAAACTCCTCTCTCCGGTCATTCATTCATTCATTCATCCATCCCCTTCCGAGCGGAACGAGCGTGTGTGCGAAGAACACCGAACAACCGGACAGGGGGTCAAAGCACTTACTATATCTAGGGTTCCCCGTTTACCGATACTCCTTATTCCATCACGCAGGCTCACTTTGAGTCTACGAGTAGTACGATACCGCCACCGCCACCACCACCACCCACCACCACCACAATGCAAACTTATGGAATCTGATGGGAAAGGGTGCGAAATTTGCTATCCCGAATTGCCCGATCTATCTATTAATGCCCACCACGAGGGGAATGACTGAGGGAAGATCACGCATCACGGATTCAGGAGTTTCTCAATGCTTTGAAAATCCAAGCTTGAGCTATGATATATTACCGTGCAAGGACATAAACATATGTCATGACACTAAAAGCGCGATGTGGGTGCGTGCAAGCGTTTTCCCTCACCCCGGAATTGTTTTGGGGGTAACCGTGCTTATTTGGCGGAGGTTTGTGTGCTGTGTGGGTACCAGAATGCGCCCACCACGGTATAGTACCCCGAATCACCAATCTGGACTGGGCGCATCGAACCCAAAATGGGGGGGGCTGAATCAGGGGATGGAATCCCTGGGCGGATCGGAGGTTTTTACCCTGGCTCACTGTGCAAGGTCACGAATGCGGGCTTTCCGCTCTCGCATGTTGATGCACAGTACCGATAGTACTTGTACTCGTACTGTACGTGTACTGTAAACTGCTTGCATTTTTTTTTTTTTGGCGTGGTGAGAGGTTTATACTCCGGTGCTTCCCAGATCTCCGCTAGTAAGGCCAGGGACCCGACCGATGGACCATGTACTATACAAGTATCCGTCTGTAAAGGGTTCGGCACCCTGGAATGCCTACGGGGTATGTATGTGACGACATGATTGCCTATGATGCGGTACCGGGACGTTTATGATTGTCACTGTGAGGGAGGGTGCTTTATCTTTGGCGGTGACAGCCGTAGGGTGTATTCCTCGGGGTAGTTCTTGATCTAGCGTTGCAGGGATTCCGTGAGGTTGGTAGCGTGGTACTGTATGACAGGGTGTGGTTTGGAGGCTTGGGTGGTTAGTGTTGTTCTGCTGTTGTTGTGCTCTAAAGCTTGGTGAGTGAGTGAGTGAGCGAGCGAGTGAGTGCACTTTACTCGAGTGCAAATAGAATTTACACTTGAGTGATGGTATTTTTTTTTTTTCCTTTCTTTTTTCCTTTTTTCTGGGACCTGTACGGAAATTCTACGGTGGTTTGGGTACCTTTGGGCTGCTGTCAAGTTGGATGGGTTTTACTGTTCGATGGAACCTCATTACCGTAATGGGTTGTGAAATTCTCCGGGGCACCGTCTTGCTGGGTGTACTCGAGTACAGTACCGTACCGGTACTCGAGTACCCATAGTTGCTGCGGGAGCTAGCACAGCTGCAGGCTGGCGGTCATTCGGTGCGTACTGTAAGGGAGCTTGTCGTGGATCCGTTTTTCTTTTTCTTTTCTTTTTCCTCCTTTCTGCCCATTTGAGTCGCTAGTTTGGAGCCGTGCTTTTGCTACGGTACGGTAGTGGTATGATGGGGCACCAAGAAAAATACAAATCCAATCCGGCAATCTGGCTAACTTGTTGTTCGCCTCTATAAGGACTACGGTACACTATACCCATCTCCTCGAAGATATGTATCACGTATCAAAGTGGCGGGACAGGGAAAATGAAGAAGAATGAAGGGAAAAAAAAAAAAAACTTTTCCCCGAAAACCCCAACGACCATAGAGTACAGTACAATTCGATGGCCTCCATCTATGCCAATATCTCCCTCCGCCATAGATAGCGCATTATATCCCCGCTTTCTTCTGCTCTTTCTCCTTCTTGTCCTTCTTCCCACCTTTCAAAACTTCCAGGTGTCCCGCCCGCTCGGCAAGACTGCGCTCTGCACCCGCTGTCAATTGCGCTGTTACTTTCTATCCACAGTTAATCGGTGGGACACCGTGATTTATTCTTCGTCTCTTTGTAGGCGGAATACCTTCTTCAAGTTATTGGCTTTCACCAGTATGGATTTCTTCGGGGCAATGGTTTTGTGGCCCTTTTTGGTTATGCCGGCATTTTTTCTGGTTTAACGGGTATGTTAGTGGGATTTGACTCGTGCCGGAAGGGTGGGAGAAGGAAGGAAGGAGGAGCACACCGTTTGCTGCTCTGCTTGGCTAGGGGCTTGGAGAGTTTTTTGTTGCCTTGTACCATTTCGAAATTATTATTTTTTTGCTCAGGTCTAGCAAGGTATCGCACATAGATAGTACCGGTATTGGAAGTGAGGTGAGGTGAGGGCGGAGATGTTGTAGGTAGTACGAGTTACCCGGCGGTGTTAGATCATAAGAGGTATCCTAAAGTTGCAGGTTCTAGTTTTAGGTTGTGAGTTAATGGAGAAGTCCCTTGTCCAGCCGTGAGGGATACGAGACGAATCGGACGACCCGTGAGTAAGACTAACCTTTACTGACGCTCACATCTACCTGGCAGTTGCGGTGCTACCCTTACTGTACATCTCAATCTCTTGCTTCTTCTTCTTGCCCTTCGTTTGTTAGGGCGAGATCGCTTTGGCGAAAGGCTTTCCTTTCCTTTCAACATACTTCACTCGGTCCACTACAGCACTCCCTCTCCTACATCAGACCCCAACGGCCTCCAAACCGTTGTTCGGAATTCAATTCTTTGCCAGGTCTTGGCATTCCTAGGAATACTGATCCGGCGCTGATATATCATACACTGAACTGTTTCTTTACCCTTTGCAACCCACCGATTCCCTCTAGCGACGAACCGATAATATTGTGAGTCGTTTATTCTTATAGTTGTTTTTTATGCTCACTTCCGGGCTTTTGTGGGATCAAAGCCCTTTACCGTCCTTTTTTTTTTTTTACTGTGGGGGTACTTTATTTCCTCTGTCATTCTCCTGATCTCCGCCCCCCCCCCCCCGTTTTTTGTTCTTGTTCCTGTCATCGCCGCGTTATGTTTGAGAGCGAGTCGATGGGCGCTCTTTAATGATAACTGCGAATTCCAGCTTTATGTGATATTGTACCTTTTTTTTCTTTCGTTTCTATCTATCCTCCTTTCCTTGGGTAGCTCGGCCATCTATTTTTTTATTTTTTATTTTTTATGGCTTCCCCGGAATACTGTACGCGTGCAGTTTGTACTAACTATTGGAAGTCACTGGCTCTCGGTGGCCTTACGGAATTTCCTTAGGGTTTAAGGTACTGTAACTGTTTCTCTTTCGTGAATTCCTCAAGATCGGGGGATCATTTGCCTCTTCCTTTCGGTAAGAGGTAGGAGCATTCGAAGGAACTGATATAATCCTTCCCATTCCCCTTCATCATCAGCGAGCTCTATTTTGTCACTTACTGCCGCGTTGAATGATGTACTGATTGTTTGGTTTTGCCTCCGTGTAGCCTGACCTTTTGAGATATCGACCTGCTCCTGGAGCAACCGTCGACAACTCTAACTCGCTGTCTATAATCTTTTCTTTTTCCTCTCCCTCCCTTCTATACTATTCACACTCTCTTGTCTTGGAGTGAATTCCTACGCATTCTGTTTTTTGCGAAGGCTTCCCACCACTTTGGAACCGATTTTTAAGCCGAGATTTCTATCTCTCTCTCTCTTTCTCTCTCTCTCTTTTTTTTTTCAGCGGTTCACTCTCCGCTTAACCCTCTCGGGTCTTTTTACTGTTCGGTGTCAACTTACGTCGCTTTCCGCAGCTACACTTGAGCAAGCGCCAAACACTGATTTGCGTACTCTCTTCCTTTTACTGCTGCTTCCCTTCTCTTTCTTCGTCCTCCGGGGTGTTGGATTCTCCATCCCCGGCTGCCTTTTCTCCTTCCTCACTTACCACTCGCTGTGCTCTCCTTTCACCATCGCTACGTCTCTCTTTTTTTTTGGCTCCCGTCACCCCCGTTACTTGCAAAGTTACACTTCCTTGCTTGTCTCACTTTCCAACTCCCTACTCATCCATACAAGTTGTGGAACCTCAACTCATCATTCTTAATATCCCCGTAAAACTCCATCGTTCGCCTCCATTTGCTACCCACTTCTCAACCCTAATTCGTATTTCCTTGTTTAAGAGCCTCTCTATTTCTTTTCGTCTCCACAACCGACATAATTATGGCCCGTCGCAGGACAAAATCAATGGCCGAAGCTTCTAATTCCCCTCCACCTACGGCCATTGCGAGAGCCACCCGTTCTCGCAAGAGTCTGGCATTATCTTCATTATTGGAGACTCAACAACCACTCCTCATGACTTTTGAGCAGGGGTCTACAGGCCAGCGAAGGTCTTCCAGATCCGCTCCGAAAAGAGGCGAGGGCTTGGCTCTAAGTCCCACTACTGTGGTCAGCCCGATGGTGACGCGGGGGAAACAGGCGAAAGATGAGAGTGATGGTAAAGGTAAAGACCGCGAGGGTGAAGTTTCCCGGGACCACTGGAGGAGCCCCGAAAATTCTACTAAACGTACGGCGACGCCGCCACCCATCCTTGATGCCCGGTATGTATATCTTTATTATTCCTGCAAAAAAATTTATGTACTGTGCTCCGAGTTTCTAATTGTTAGCTAGTGATGATGACGAGGAGTCTCTAGTTGATGAGGCTGATAAAAAGGATGAAGAGCATCTTGATGAGGACCGTCAAGATGATGATAGTGATTATGGACATAGAGATGAGGATGAAGGGAATGTCCTACCCGGCCCTTTATCTACCAATTCTTCACCTGATGGCCAGGGTTCTTACGCCTCGGCGCTCAATGGCGGGGATGGGGTGTCCTCACCATCCGCTAGTAGAAACTGCGATACTGCTTCGGCCAAGAGGCGACGTAAGAAAACACGCAATCCTCATATCAGCCCGAACAAGCAAAGACAGCTCCGCCAAAAGCAGAAGGAGCGGGAAGAGAAGAGAAAAGGTGATATTGTTAGTTCTCCGGTGAGCGCTGTGGGTTCGGGGTCGGGAGCCTTTCCCCATCTCCCTCATCCGCCAGTGCCCATAACGACTGAAGCTATTCATGCTCCTACCTCTCCTCCCCCTCCTAGTGCTCCTCCAGAGGTCAATCGAGCCTTCGAAGAGGATTTCGGACCATTCTTGAATGGCAAGACGGATACGCATGAAGCCACTAAGAGACCGGCTATGCTTGTGGATGTGTCATCGGTTGACGCAGCGGCAGAATTTTTACTTGGAACCGCTATGGGAGGGTTCAGCGAGGATGAGAGTGGCAAGCGGGTTACTGGGAATTCTGGCGCAGAGACCGGGCAGAATGCTACCATGGTTTCGGAACCCCGGGATGAGGATATGCCTGATGCACCTGTTCAGTCAGGTGCTTCACTACTAGATGTTGCTCCCACCAACGATGCAATTGTCGAGTCTCCGTCGAACCAACTGCTTGCTGAGCTGCAAAAGAATGGTGACGATGCAACTGAGGGTACTCTTTCCGGCCAAGCATCGCCCATAATCGCCGGAGCGTCAACACCCGCTACTACCGTCAACGGGCTCGCGGGCTCGCGACGTGCGCTATGCACGGGCGGTGAATCCTCCCCTAGATGTCAGACTTCTCCAGTGCGAAGGCTCGAGTGTTCGGGAACCAGCGGGGCTACCGAGAAGGACATCTCGAATATTTCTTCCGGGCGCAGACTATCTTTAGGGCCGGGTCATGCGGATATAAGCGAGAGGAATAATGCGAATACGGGAGATAATACGATTAAGGTAAATTGCCGGTGATGTCACGTTGCTACTTACTCTACGGACTTAGATTGGTACTAAGTGCGTGTAGGAGAATAACACCAAATCACGTGAGAGCAATACAAGATTAGTCGTCCGGGATGGGCCACCATCTCCAAAGCTAGAACGCCGGGATACAGAAATTGTAGTCGGTGGTATTGGTAGTCCTACTAAAATCGCCAGCCCGCGCGAACGGATTGAGATCAGGGTTCAGTTGGAAGGCCAAGATCCAGTTGGTTTTCCTTTTTAGTATATGGTGTTTTTTTATTATTAATGCTGTGTAGGATTCTGGCGCTGCCGATGAGGTTAATGTTGCCGCTAGTGTGCTGTTACAAGTACTTAAGTCGAATAACCCAGTGTCTGCCATTAGAAAGAAAAGAAGTCATTCGGAAATTTCTTCGAGAGGCAGGAGGGGGTATGTCTTCCTTTGGTATTATTATTATTGTTTTACTAATCAGGAAGGGCTACTAACTTGGGGTGTTTTATAGAAACTCACCCGGACATGGGGAATCGTCTAACAAATTGTCTTGTCCGACATGTCCTATAACTGAGGAACAAATCTTGTCCTGTCTTGAGAGAAAGAATGCTGGCGACCGTGGAATGAGTCTCGAAGAATTCATGGATAAACACCGTGAACTTTGCGCTAACAACGTTCAAGATGAACCATTGGTGTCTGAAGGGGAGATGGAGGAAGAGGATGACTATGGAGATTATGATGAGGAAGAAGATGAAGGTGAGGAGGGCCATGCTGGAGAGGATCATGAGGAATTGGGGGGAGAAGAGGAAGATTATGCAGTTGATGGAGATGAAGGGTTGATAGAGGGAGATCAGGGAGTGATCCGGAAGATAGCGCCCGCACCATCTGGGGTGGGTACCGTCTTGTGCAAAGTGGCTGAATCGCTCCCTGGTTACCTGAGTATCAAGCCGGAAGATGTCGACAAGGAAATTGAGGTACGGAGGTCTGCCATTACAGCTGGCCGGCTCCTAGAGGGGAAGTCTGTTGAAGATATACTCCTTGTTCCGATCACACCGATCTCCACATTTCAAAGATATCTGGAAAATTCGAAAACCCCCGCGGAGAAGTTTCTTGTGGAAGAGAAAATCGTTGAAGCTTTGGCTGACATACAGGTGGAATATTTGATGATTGATGAGATTGTCAAGCGTAAGGAGGCAAGTACCCCGGATGGGGAAAGTATAGCTGTTAGCCAAACCGCTAGAGGGCGTAAGAAGGGAAAGCCTAGAGTTGCCCGCAATCCATTAGAACCAGAGGATCCAGTTGTCTGGGAGGATAAGAAAGAAGCTGAACTTTATGGGTTTTCTTACGATCCTGCTATTGACAAGCGTGGGAAGCAGAATGCTGATGAACAGCAAGCTGGCAAGTATTCTATTAGAGGGCGGGAACTGCGCAGTCGCCAAAAGGCTGTTGAAATGGTGCTATATCCCGGATACGAGCACATTGATCAGCGAGTCCAGACTATTCAGCCGAAGGTGACCAGGCGTCGGAAGCCCGCCGCTGACAAAGAAAAGTGCGAGGAGTCGCTAGAACAGCTCAGAGCTGGTTCTGCTCCACCACCTGCCTCCGCCGTTCCTCAGAAGAAGAGGCCCGGGAGACCTCCGAAGAACGCTCAATCGTCTCTATTTCTCTCTGCCTCTTCCAAAGATCAAGCTTCAGCGCAGGCGCTATCACGGACGCATTCTGCAGATAATGTTGCACGCCCGAGAGCGGGTGAAAAGCCAAAGGTAGACCCTAACAGAACACCACCTAGTAGCATTAGTGGCACCTTGGTGAGGTCGTCGCCGGATTGTCTAAAGATAAAGTTTCGCGGTGCACGGCTTGCTGAGTACCTTAATATTGTCTCGCAGGAATCGAACCTAGCATCCACACAGAGAGATTTCTACGGTCGCCCAGGCCCATCATCGTTGGTGCCTGCCACGACGCAATCCGAGCCGGTCTCGCCGACCAGATTTTATCCCGACAATCCTACTAGGCAAGGCGACTCATTCATGTCGCTCGTGAATGGGGGGGTCAATGCGCAGCGATCAGAATCTCCAATTTACGATTCAACGGAGAGCAATCCTGGAGATTATGAAGGTGTTGGGAGGGGGAGACCAAGGCCTCGTGGAAGAGGTAGAGCCCGTGGAAGGGCAAGGGGGACCCGTGGACCGGGCAGGCCTGGGCGTGGATCAGGGTTAAGGGTTGAGACTTCAAGCGCAGCTAACCCTGTTGGTCGTGGTGAGCCTGTGCCGGCCAACCCAGAGACCCCAGCTCTTAGCGCGGTCGAATATTCCGAGGCAGAGGACGCTGCTATCAGTGCAGCAGCCTCTGATCGCGGACATAATTATCATTCAAACGCCTTCCAAGCACTGTCTAAGGCTCCCGGCAGCGCGAAGCGTTCCATACCCGCTGTAATGCACTTCAACGCAACTCCCTCCCCCATGTATACTGTATTTCAGACCCGGCTAGGGCCGCATCCGCTGCCCTCAACCTCTACAAGCCCAACCTACCACGAGAATAGGTCTTCCGTTGAAACGGACCATGGAAGACCCCGGGTCCGTGGGAAGACGTATAAAACGCCAACATCCGTCTCAGTGACCGAAGCCCAACCAAGGACAACCAAAGAGGAAGAATTTATCGCCGCACAAAACGGAAACCTGGGGAAGCGGAAGAGAGTCAGGACGGCTCTAGCATATGAAGCGCCTAGACGCAAGGCCCGCGCTGTTGCAGGTAGAGATGGGGCCGTGGGGGGTGGGCATAGCCCTGGCTGCGTGAGTGGAGATAGAGATGATGAAACAGATAGTAGTGAGCCGGATGATGATGATAGCGGTGGTTATGGGAATGAGAAGTAGGTAGAAAACCTCCACGCGTTCGTCGTCGCGGCTGCGGGGGGAGGATTTTCTTTTTTGAAAAAAATCTGTGGTTTTTGTGGATTCATTTCGTTTTTTTTGACATTAAGGTCTGGGTATCATATGCATTTGTGAATCGGAAAGGGGGATGTTATCATTGGAGGTGTTTGGGCATTTGTATTTATGTTTTGTCGCTTTGCTCTACCTTTTTCATGTGACAGTATTTTCCCCTTTTTCACTGTTATTGTAGTATTTGTACCCGGAAAAGGGAGGAAGGATAGGTATAGTATACGAATAAATGGGGGCTGAATAAATTCAGGATAAATGAATTGACGTGGGTGTTGTGCTTGACGTTGGTGTGGTCTTAGTGGTGTGCTGTGGATATGCAATGTGCTGTTCCGTGATATGGTAACTGGCAGGAGTATCCCTGGTGGTGGGCAGGGGATGTCAATGCAGCTAGGTATTGTACAGCATCGTGCTATTGTCCAGGTCGACGGATGCGATACTCATCTGGAGATATTGGGTTAGGTAGCTTATGGTCTTCCTGCATTCTGGAGTATCATAGTTTGTCGCCCCATCGCGAATATTTCTTTGAGTGAGTTACTCGAGACTGGCCTACCTAATGGCCCGCACTCGCCCTGAGAAAGGAGACAGTACCAGTCATCAAAGTCACCGAGAATCACTTGGAGTGTAGATTTTTTCACTTCAGGCTGGCCTTATTCTGCCCCGCCAAGGTTTGCACATATTGACCACCACCATTGATTCTCTCCCCCCCCTTCTTTTTTTCATTTCCGCAGAGATGGATGTATATTCCGCAGGTCGCCTTGGTTTTGGGTCTTTGCCTTAACTTATCGTGTACTATGATATGATAGAAAACACTATGGTGGGCGATTACTCAGCTGCCACCAGTGTACCAGTATCGTACCCAGTCGCCTAGCTAGCTAGCCAGGCGCGCGTAAATTGAGGCAAACGCACGCAACTCGCACGGCGATTGGGTGTCGAGTGACGAATAATGATGGAGAGCTGTTTTGACTTGGTGGCGCGTGATGGGTGGTCCGGCTGGGACAACTGACGTTTACGAGATGGGTCGCTGTATGATATGATATAGTTTTTTCTCTTCTTCTCTTTCTCTCTCTCCCCACCCCCCACCCCCCATTCTTAAAATTGGGTTTTTTTTTACCTGCAGATTGGGCGTAACTTAATTGGAGATTTGATTTTGGGAGGTAAGACCTCTCGTTCGACGTCAGCATGTATCATACTGTATGTGCGCCGGTAACACAACCCACCGGTGACCCCGTTGCGTTTGCGTCCCGGTGGATGGATATTGAACACGGTTTAAAAAAAATTCATTGTTTCCGCTCAAGTGAGTGAGTGATACTGCGCGATCGCGAGCACTACCGGTTATAGTAGCATTCCATTCCGGGACCGACACACCGGAGAGGAAGAAGAACCTGATCCGGTCACGTTTTTTTTTCCCGAGGAGTATTTTGACATTTGGGATATCGCTCTTTACAATAACTTGGATTCCCGGGGGGGGGGGGAAGTGTTGCGATTGCTAACATCATACAAGTATCTTTTCTACGCCTTTAGGACCGGGTCTGGGGATTGCTCTGGGTGGCTTAATTTGCCAAGGATGTCCAGGCGGCGGGATTGAATCTTTATTCGTACAGTGGGAGAGCGTCCCGTGTGGGCCGAGGGGGGTATTCATATACTGTATATATCCGTGGAGGGGAAACTAGAATCTCGTGTATATTGCTAAATGTTGGGTGTTTATGCTGGAGTCAGGGTCGATGGTGAAGAATGTCGTGTCCGGCTCGCCGGTTATCGTTTGCATTAATTATGGTGTAATAATGATAATAATAGTAATAATTGATTAAAGGGCGATTGAGTCTATTTTTTTTTTCCCCTCCTGAATTCCACGATACAACGTGATCAAGTATCATGAAAACTAGTGCATATCGTGCCATTCCCGGGTTTACCCCCCCCCCCCCGCCCTCTTTCTCCCCTCTGCCCTTTTTGGGGTTTCGGTAGGATATGATAAGTCGGTCGCGGCCTCCCCTTCTGTTTCCGTGCCGTACACGGTAGTTGTGAGTACTATTGGACCCCCGACCTGTCTGAAAATTCCTATTATACGCCGTCTATCGCAGTCTCGGTGATGAAATGATCAATTCCTTCAAGACTCCCTTCCCCGCATCATAACTGGTAGGATTAGGGAAGTGGGTTTCGTATCACCGCCGAGTGGTTGACGAGTAGTAGCGAGTGACTAGGGCTTTTGGTTGAAGAAAATATAATATCATTATCATAGCATTTCATCCACTATAAACCATAAATAAAATAAAATAGCATCATATACAACTCCCTGCCATCCTCCATTTCTTGCTCAGAAATTCACCCAACCTCATAGTTTAGCCCGAACGTGAGCAAAGTCATGGAACCCAATCCGCCCGCCAACAATATCATACGCCCTAACCAGCTCGGCCTTGCTCAACCCTTCCAGGACCTCCCAAGCCCTAGCATTCCTCCTATCCTTCTTCCGCCCCACCGCCACCTTCCCCGCAGGCCCGTACCCCATCGCCTCCTCCTCCCCCGCTTCAAACGGCGCATCTCCTCGAATAAAGCTGATGAAGTGCTCCTGGATCGCTGCCTGAACTTTACTCGTCGCCTCGCGCACCTCCTCTGGGAATGTGTAGTTTCCAAAGAGCGACGGCATCTCCACAGCGTGATGTGCTCGCCGATTCTGCGGCCCCCACGGGTTGGGCTGATCGTAGTTGTATTCGTAAACTTCCTTGTTCTTGCTACGCCAGGTCGTGGCGATGCGGTGGCTTGGGAGGGAGACTAGGACGTCCGAGAGGAACTGGAGGGTTCCGTGGTGGATGCGCTTGGTTACGGCAGGGACTGGGAATGAGGGAGTTGTGGTTGTTGGGATTTGGTATGCTGCGAGGAGGGAGTCACCGGTTGCACCTAAGGATCTAAAGGCGGCTATTAGGTCCTCCGGGGGTAGTAGGCGGACACGGGGGGCGAACATTGAGCCCTGGAAGTATTAGTTCTCATAGGATGATTGTAGGGAATCGGTAGTGAAAGAGGGGGGGGGGTTGGTTATATCGTACGTCAAACTCCGTGTCCCCAATCAGCAACGCATCGCACCACTCTGGTGCCGCGGTACCGACCTCTCCCCATCCTTTCGTGAAGAAAGCATCATCATCGGTCAAGGGCAAGAAGTCAAGCCCATCCTTCTCAATGGCCGCGACAATATCCTGTGCCGGCGCGGTCTTGAGTACCTCCTCCCAACCCTCCTTCTCCACATCCGCACCCAAGTTCCTCGCAACCTGCTTCGAGAGGTTTATCCCCCAGGACTCTGACTTGGGATTGGAAACGTACAGCGTCCCACTCTGCATAATCGCGCGGTTGAACAACCCCTTGGCATCAGACTCCAGCACCGCGTTAAGGTGTGTTTCTACAGCGAACGAACCGGCGCTGTTACCGCCTATGGTGATCATCTTTGGATCGCCGCGGAAGCCACGGATGTGTTTCTGCACCCACTTTAGTGCTAAGCGTTGGTCCAGGAGACCATTGTGCACCCCGAGACCGCTTGGGAGAACCCCATAGCCGAATGTGCTGAGACGGTAATTTATCCCCACCGCGATGATAGGTTTTCCGATGTCCATGGACTTCTTGACGAAGTTCGTCATGTCCTGGAGCGGGACACTGCTGGAGATCCACTTATTCGCGCCGCCATGGATATTGACGTATACTGGGAGGACATCTTCTGCGTCTGGGGAGTTTAGGATTGAACTGGGCGCGGTGATGACGAGGTTTAGGCATTCGAATTCGTCTTGTGTTAGACCCGCGGCTGCGCGCTTTCGCTGGTTCTCCGGGATGCGGAAGAAGAGGCCTTCGTCGTCGAAGACGGATTGAGGACACATGGGCCTTTGGGAGGATATTATCAGCGTTGGCCTATCTTGGGGAGAGATGGACGGAGGGCATACCCGTGACTGGTACAATCCATCTCGGCGGGATACGACTCCAGCATCGTAGACTTCGCATATCTCTTGGGAAACTCCGCGAATTTGATGCCGCGGAATTGCACCACGCGCCCGTCATGCAAGGGAACCCCGCGGAGGCGGCTTCCAAGAGAAGGGTGTTCGAGAACAGGTGAGATTGACATTTTCTATTTACTATCTTGGTTGATACTCGAGGGGGGATGGGGGATGGTTGTATGAGGGGTAGGAAAATCTTTACTGTCTTTCAGGGCACTTATATTCATTTCTTCCTACAGTCCTTGGACCGGTAACTTGATATGGTAGGCCAACTGGAGCAGGAAAAAAAAGACTTCTCGGAGTTTAAACTTCAAATCTGACATCTGGCGCTTCTCCTCAACTCCGCTAGGACAATAGCACCCAGTATATCTTCACGAATGAACAGAAGGGGCCCGTCTGCACTGGCTCAGCCCCCGGTAATTGTACCTGAGTCCCATCTCATCCTGTCGCCTCCAGCCTCCGAGGCACGTATGTAGTTTCACAAGAAAATCACAAGCAATCACTCGTCATTATTATCGGCTTCATCTGAATGTCAAGCTCCCCAGGGGCCTCTCGCCTTTAGCCCTGGCTGCGAGACAATCAGCACATTTCTAATCCGCTATTCGAGATCCTGTCACAAAGAGCCGGTGCCTTTTTCCGTGAGGGCTTATACGGTGTCCGGGGTAACTGACAAGCTTGGGATTATGCTCGTGGATTACCTACTCCCGGGGGGTTTTCTGAATTGTTATTGTGCAGACGACAGAAGCGGTGGCGTTTCATAGAGAAATAGGATTGGTGGAGGAGTGGTATAAATTTTTTTTGCTTGCGAGTCGATATTGTCACACCAAACGCCTTGCGCGGCGGTGTGCTGGTTGAGGCGGGGCTTAGCCGGGGTTCGAGTTATCCCTGCGCTTAGCGCGTCGAATTGCCATTCTGGCAGGCGTGTAAACAACCGCGAAAAAGTACTGTGAAGAATCTGCTTCCTCCTCCCCCAAAAATCAGAACAAATCCTCTTCTTGGTCTCTCTTCCCCTTTGTTTTCCTTTCGAAAAACTTCACGTACCCCTAGCTTTCAATACAGTACTAATCCCCTCGTAACCACATTCCATCCATAATGGTGAAGCTAGCACCCTAACCCCACGCCTCAAACCGCCAAGCCACAACACCATCCAGCCCCCACCGGAACTCGGCTGTCATCAACATCTCCGACAATCTCTCCTCTTCCAATCCCGGCTCAGGTTCCGACGTGAGCCAGTTCTTAAAAGCTGAAACACGACGTTTACCACGCACTGGTAGAGCACAATACGAATTAGATAGCAACGCCGAGGCGCAAGCGATATAGTGTGTGAGAGGCTTCGCGCGGAGTTAAGTTTTCTGTTCGTGAGGCTATTCGAACTGCTGCTTGCCGGTGGTTGGCGGGTGCATGCATGTGGTATTAGTACCGGTAGGCGAGTGAAGTAGAAACTACCGGTACTGGTCTTCGCAAGCATAATGGCCTGGATTCGATTAGTTATTCAGGGTGGGTTGGAGTCGGGGATGAGGTAGGGATTGGAGGGGGTTATTGGGCGGGGTCATTCGAGCTGAGGGTTTGGATTTCTATTAATACTGTGGACCGGTGAGCGGTTGTAGTGAGTGAGAGCCTGAACAGGGGTCGGGCGTTGTTGGTCTGGGGCACTGAGGCCGGGGGAGTATGAATTCATAATTGTGAATAGTGCCGGTACGGTATCAGACTTTACCACATGGGTCGTGGGGTTTTGAGTTGAGTTCGGTGGGATGTAAACCTAACCCTGATAATAATTGGTTAATCGAGGTTGGATTGGACATCTTGCGAATATCCTGACACCCCGGTATATCCATTCAAAAATACTTAATTACGAGTATTGTCCACCGTGGAAAGCCACAGTGGAAAGCCTCCGCATGACACGGATTGAACCAAAGAGGCCTCGTGGACGAAAGGTGACATTCGGGAAAGATCATCGCTCCATATTGAAATGTTTAAAACAAAATACGGTATTGAAAAATACCCGATTTACACTGAGGGACCAAATGGGTCTAATGTGTAACCCGCTGACTATACCACCCTGGATGAATGTGAAAAATACCCTTGATGAGACGATGCAGGCTATCAATAACCGAGGACTTCTCGACAATCTTCTCATCAAGTTCCTTATTCAATTTGATCTCGACATCCTCATCCCCATTCTCAATATCGTCCGTAGGATCCTTTAGGAGATCGGCCTCTCCCCTTGCACCGCCCTTCTCCCCGCCTTCAACAATGCCCTCAGTCATATTCCCGACGGTATGCACAACTTCCTTCCCAGCCTTCGGCAATCCCCAAATCTTCCAAAGTTCTTTAATCGATCTCTCCCGCGCCTCCTCACGGAGCATAGAGGTGTTTGGGGCCCATTTCTTGGTGTACTCCTCGGCCGCCTTCCTCGCGTCCGCGCTCCATGGTGCGGAGAGGTCCACGGGTTCTCTGGTACCCGGGAACTTCTCGCTGAGGAACTCCTTTAGGAATAGGGCGAAGCCTTCTATGAACATGTCGTTGTCTCCACCACCCCACTGCTCGATAAAGACACCGTCTTTGTAGAGGTTGAAGGTGGGGTAACCGTCGATACCTAGGTCCGGATCCGCACAGAGTTCACCGCCTGCCCCTGAGCATTCATACGAGGCGAAGGTGAAGTTGTAGAAATTGGTGAAGGGTACCGCTGTTGGGGAGGGGTGAGCGAGGCTGACGTTTGAACGGGCGTAGGTTAGTGCTGTGTCGTACCAGCCCGGTGCTGCTTCTTTCGAATAGTGACACCAGGACATGTAGTGTTTGACAAACCTATGGGGTTAACAATTTTTTCTCTAGGGCTTCGGAAGGAGGATATATAGATGATACCAATAGCCGGACTTGATTGTCTCGTGGAACTCCCATTCCGGGATTTCTATCGGCCCATCGGAGTCTAGGCTAGTTATTTTTGGTGCTCCCGCTGTCGAAGTACTGGTGGCGTTTAGTGTGCCAGTAGGCGAAGGTGTGGATATTTAGAATAAGCACGAGCATCGTATCGTCTAGGCCCCGCCAAAGCAAGTGGAAGTAGCGCCAGCGCAGTTAGCAGAGCGTTTTCAAAATACATAACGAGTGGATTCGTTTGCCAGCAGCAAAAGAGGGCGCGCTGGCGAGGAGGAGCAGAGAGTTATGTATGAAGCTACTTATCAGCAAACATACATGACGGCTGAAGGTAGAGCTCTGGTATTGGACATTTTGTATAGGTTGGCACCGGCAGAGCGCTCTCAGTCGCTCTCAGCAGCATGCTCAAGCAGAGATATCTGGGAACACTGTATTTTTGGACAAATCTGTTTCCCCGGTGAGGAAACCGGGAAACTTTCTGCCGTCGGTGAGGCTCCACCGTGCCGAGTAGGACCAGTGTAATGATCCTCGCAGAATGGAATGGGCTTGTAAAGAACGATTGTGTCGACTGGTATAGGAACAAGCAAGAGACAGTATTCTTTATAGGGGTTTCCGCCATACATGCCCAATCCATCGTGAAAGGCCACCCGTCGAACGCCAAGCAGAGAGTGATCCGTCATGAGTGTCCTCTACCCTGGTTACAGAATGCAGACCCACGTATTCTTGACAAGAGATCCCTTGCAAAGTCGGTAGCGGGTGGAAGAAATCTGCCGGGTAATTCCAGCGGGTCATGCGACGTGTTGGTATCTTGACGTTACCCCTATTTAGCTTTCTGAAAGTTTCTGTTCCGTTTTTGCCCTGTGGGATGCTGAGAACCCCCCCCCGAATGCAATACAATGCCGGTATGGCTATCATGGAAATGCGCTGTATAGCCCCTTCTTAGAAGTGTTGTGAAAGTTGAAAGTCTGAGACGCATTTAAAAGTGAGCTTCGCTGTGATAAGATTGCTAATTTCTTACATAGAGCTGGCTTGGTTCATACTTGAATATGATAATATAATATTATAAGAATATAATGTTTTCGGGATTATAGTGATATATTTTTATTTCCAAATGCCAAATGGAGCCATAAACATATATAATGTTGTGCTAGGTAGACAGAAGAGAATATTCTATGGTATATATTAGTATTAGATAAAGTGAGTATGTTGGAGAGTTCCTCTTCCTTCCTTTACTACCTCCTTTATCTATTCGATCCCAAGCCGCATTAATCCACCAACACTCATTGCTCTATTCACTGGACCGATATCTACAACCTTGGGCAATATAATTCTAAAAAAAGAGATGGCATTAACAATTCCTTTACCAGTGCACATTGGTACCTGCCACCAAGAAAATTACACTCCCCCTACTGGCCTACCACTTCCACAATCACATCCCTCCTTGACCTCCCTTCCAGCATACACAGAAGGTGGCCAGCCACCACCATACATTATCCCGTACCCCGATACACGATGTTTTTACGGAAGGCCAATACCATACACCTTTCTTTTCTGTTCTACTTTTATCATGGGATTCACACTCTTTATCCTGTCACTCAATTTCAAGCTACCAATTATTCCGGCGATATTTCTAGTTATTTTTACACCATTGGTGGTCCCATTTTGTTACGTTATATTCGTGGTAACCAGGACCACCCTCGAAAGGAAGAGAAGGACATTGGGGGAAGAAGGGGGAGAGCACGAGGAAAATATCCTAGGAGTTGATCACTGAGACAAAATGGATGGGATACTTACTAGTTTCTCTTGCAGAAAAAAAGTACTAGTAGGATAATTAAGTGGAATAGGTCATCACTTGGTTTTTTTTGTTATGTTTGATTTGTACTCAAATGGCACTTTGTGGTTCCTACATGGCTGGTTTCTGTGATGTTTTGTCTGATGGGTATCTTAAATATCACAGGTCTTACAAAGTGGCTTGGAATTTGATCAGAGGGTTTATATGGGGACCATTGGGTATTGGGTCACCCTGGCACTTTTATCACTGAGTCTTTAGTGTTTTCGCTCATTCAGGTGTGTTGTGTGTGAGATCCCCTCCCTCCCGTCCCCCTTCGGTTCCGGGCGTCCTTCCAACCTTGCTGCGCATATAGCGGTCAGTATGGGTCTGCTCCCGGTAAGCCAGAAGCGATTTGTAAGATTGCGTTTTGGACATAGGGCGGCCCCCTCGTCGGATGGTTCAGACAAAACGCAGCTTTTTTGTTTTCTTTTAGAGGACAATACTGTTTATTAATCCCATAACTGCAAGCACTAGCATGGTGCTACCTGGTGGATGGGAATTTCTGCGAGATCCGGAGATGGGCATGTAGGTTTTCACATGAGGTTGTTAACTTGTAGCTTGGCTGTTATCCTTTTGTTTGAGTGGTAGCCCAAGTGTTACTTGTAGACAACGAACATCATCTCCCCGCTTTCTTGAGCAGTGCACGCAGAAGTTTATAAAATCCGCTGATATCCCTAAAAATTATCACGTTTAGCGGAATACCGTGGCCCAGACTGCATATAAGCTATCCATCAACATGGGCAACGGCAATGCGAACAACGGCAACATAACAGGTTGTTTCAACAGGATCGTCTAGAATTCCGATGAGGATGCACAGATTATGTGTTAGCTCTCACCACTAGAGCCAAATACCAGACATCAAGGCATGCGCAACGACCGATCCGACGGCATTGGGGATTGGCTTTTGAAAACAAGCGGGTTTTAGGAATGGAGAGGTAGTCATTGTGGGGTTGATAAGGCGATCCTGTTTTGAAGCGGGAATCCGGGAGTGAGCAAGACGCATCTAAGGCAAGCGGCGGGATTCTTTAAAGGGGAGTGAAATTACTGACGGTCGGGAATACTAGTTCGCG